AGCCAAACGCCCACCAATGCCAGCCATGCAACACCGTTAATAAAACCTTCCATCGTCCTCTTTGTAGCACGCACCTATACCTTTCCCAAAACACCGTATCCACCCAAAACAACGCAAGATTCGAAGCAACTAATGTCCTGGTAAAGCTTCGTGTGCTACAGCACAAGCTTCTTCAAATGTCGCCTGAGCCTCTTGTCTCTTTCCAGAGATGTCATAAAATTGTGCTAACAACCCTTCGGCAACAGAAACCCATAGCTTGTTCTTGCTATGGTTGGCTTGCTTTAGTGCAGCTAAAGCACTCTTTTCTGCTTGGTCCCCTAGACAGTTGTTGAAGAACTTACTGCACATGATGTTAAGGACAAGGCATAAGAACTGCGTGTTGTGGGAAGCCTTTGCCTTAGCTAAAGCTGCAGACAGGTGATTTTTAGTCTCGTGAATCATAGCGGAATTTCCGGTCTTGACAGTCGCCCGAAGTATTGAGAATGCTGTCTGGATATCTTTAGTAGGATGATTGACGCAATATGGCTCGAGTTTCGAAATAAGCGTAACATTCTCGATGGGATCTTGCCAAATTTCATCTTGTAGAATCAAGAGAACATTGAGAGCGGCAAGAATTGCAATATCACGCTCAACCTGATCTTCGGAGGACAAATCATGTAGTTGAAATGTCTCATGCTGGAAGACTTTCAAAGCAGCCTTCAAATCGCCAGTTCCCTGAAAATAGACCCCTTCCAGATAGAGAGTAAGAGTTCCTAATCGCCCCGACAAGGGAATTTCAAACTTTTCTGCAGCAGCTGTTATACAATTCATAGACTGTTTTACTTGTGACCAATTACCCACAGCAGCGCAACAGAATGCCATGTAAATGTGCAAATAGCATAGAATATGACCACGCCATTGTTGTTTGGCAACAATCTCGGACAATAGGCCAGGGGAGGCTCTAGATGCTCGAGATTCATCTCCTGCAATAAATGTTAGCATTAATGTATAGAGGAGAAAAATACCGATTACCTATAATTCTGCCTAGACCTTCTTTGAGAAATCTCACGGCTTTTTGATCGAGGGGGTTTTTGTGCATTAAAACTATTCCTGATAGTAGATAACTGTAATCATGTTAGAAATTCTCAGAGCGACTCGAAAAGCGTGTGATACGAACGTTAAGGCATATGCATCTCTCTTATTCAAAAATGACATGACTATCTGGCCTCGCCCATCTTCCCTCGTACTCAAAACATTTCGGGTATCTTGACTGATGAGATTTTTGACTTTGTGAGCGCCATCTATAGGTATAGCAAGGGTGTCATTTTCGATGCTCCATGCCGTGTTTTTTAATAAATCATCCATAACCATCTGCATTGCCCTCAAAGTACTCAGCATCTGAGCTGGATCTCCACGAAGTATACTACAAATTACATCAAGAATATGAGTAAGACCAATGAGCTGAGGTATGCTACTTTTATTGTCAAGCTGATAGGTTCGTGCCGCAGCAATAGCTCGTTGAACATGCTCAATTCCATCTACTCCGGCGGACTTTAAGTGGGCAATAGCTTCCATGAGGGATGCAACAATATAAACAGAACGATCTCCCTGTTGGTTCGCAAGGGTTGAAATGCCTCGAATATTTTGTATGGCCGCATGGTTATCTGTTGGAGTCCTTAATTGTAAAGCATGTGATGCTCTAAGAAATCGGAATACGTAGACCCAGGAATTGTGTTGATAGCTAATTACAGTCAGCGATTATAGACAATATACTCGATACCATTTACGTACGCTTGCGCATCGGAGATATGGCTGTCAAGTGTTTTCATGGCTGCTTTTGGATTCTTCTCGAACATCAATCGCGCGAATAAGAACTGCATTACATATTTGAGGTCGTAGTAGTGATTCTAATCTCATGTTAGAAACTGTAGCCACGAAATGAAAAGTGTGTCATACTCTTTCGCAAAGTATTATGCCTTGACTAAGCATGGTCTCTGCCTCTGCATAATTGTTTGTCTCTTCGTATATAATTCCGGCAATCCGCAGTCGAACTTTAGCCTCCAATCTTGCAGGAAGCTTTAATTGCTTCAGTGCAATAGTCAAACATTCCAGCCCCATAGTAATAAGTTTGTGATATGCGTGAATATTTTCTTCCGTCATGGCGATCGCAACTGCTGGTGCAAGTTCATGCGCTGCGCCGAAATACTCCTCTGCCAGCGAGATCAAAAGTAGAGGATAATCAAGTTGCGTCGGGGGTTTCGCATGGGCTACTTGAGGATTTATTTGTTCCATTGGCATGTTTGACGGAGGTAGTATGCGATGTTGCGGGGCGCGTTGATTGAGAGGATATTGTTGCTGAATGGGTTGTGGAATTTGAACCTGAACCTGAACTTGGGGTTGAGGTTGAGGTTGAGGTTGATAATACTGCGGCGCGGTGGACGGTGCCGTACGAAAACTGTCGGGCGCATATCCAGTCGTGGGCATGTTATATTGAAGTTGAACATTTGGATTCCAATATGGTCTTTGATCCTGCTGCATAGCTCCTCCCATCTGGTATTGTTGCACGCTTGCACCGTTCTGCATCATCATACCGTTCCTATCGTATTGAGGCGAATTGTCCTGCGGAGGATATGCGTTTGGATCATACCCGGGCCAAATATTGGGCATGCCATGATTTCGAGACATAACTCGCCCCTCTTTTGAATAACCCTCAGTCACAATATATCCGCGCGGTGGTGAAATATAAGAGATATAATAAATATAAATGAATGTTCACGAGCATTTCCAGAACATTGAAAGGATGAATGACATAAGAATACTCTGCAAGGATGCTAACTAGGTGATCAGAGTCAGCCAATGAGAATCGATGGGTTTCACCGAAGTCCTTCCCGATAATCTCCATGAGTTTTCAGCACAATTTTGCAAGTGGGTGTTGTGGGTGTGAAGCAAAAGGAGGTCTGTACATCTGCTGGCGTGTGTACTTCACTACTTATAATCTGTTCAATCTCCCGTTCCTTTTTTCTTGTACCAATTTCAACTCGTTTCCCGTTCAATAGATGTATGTATATCTAGTACAATCTATCAATCTGTCTTTCGTTATTACAAAAAGCGACCATTTCACGCCCCGTTACACCAACACAGTTCTAGAAGCTTTTAAATAAAAGTTATTCACAATCCAATTAGGATGGAGTGGCTTGGACATGCAAAGATTGGATTTACCCATCCTCCAAATCCCATAAGCCTCAAAAGTAAAGATGGTTCTACAACAGATCTTCTCAAGATATGTGAAGAGTCAACTCCGCCATGTCGTCTCAACCCCCTTTTGTTCAATGGTAATGGAATTCCTTTTTGCAATGAATGGTTTGGACGTAAAGTGACTAACTCCATTAGGTCACATGCAAACGTTCTGGACCGTTGTAAAGAACGATGGACCTCCTATTTACTATAAACGAAAGCTATTTGAGAATAAGGATCCAGCTTTCCAAGGCTCTTTTGCTGTTGATTTCGTAGTCCATGAGCCATATAGCGAGGTTGATGATACTTTGCCTATTCGTACTACATACTATACGGATGAAGAGTTCTCAGGAATTGCATCTTTAGATAGTCGGCCAATGCTCGTGACTTTACATGGACTTTCCGGTGGTTCTTACGAGATCTATCTCAAGCATGTATTGGAGCCTTTGGTTGGAGCCGATCATGCTTCAAAATGGGAGGCATGCGTTATCAATAGTCGTGGATGTGCCAAACATAAAATCACGAGCAGTGTACTGTACAATGCAAGAGCTACATGGGATACTCGACAGACAATTGCTTGGCTGAGAAAGACCTTTCCTAACAGACCTTTGTTTGGTATCGGTTTCTCTCTAGGAGCTAACATTCTTACCAATGTATGTTCCTCAATTGTTCCCGTTCTACTTAATCTTCCCTACTTGTACACATCTTCCCCCCCTCCCCTTGCAGTTTGCCTCTTGATGTTTGCCATGATTCCTACGTATCCTCCTACTTGTACCTTGACTTTATTAACACATCCTAGTATATCGCCGAAGAAGGAGATGCATGCGTCCTCAAAGCCGCCGTCGTTTGTTCCAACCCCTGGAACTTAGATGCTGGATCACTCGCTCTCCAAAGAACCTGGCTTGGAAGAGAAGTTTACTCCAAGACCATGGGTAGCAATATGAAAAGACTCGTTGAACTTCATCATGACCAGATCATCAAAAATCCAAAGATTGATTTTGACAAGATCAGGAACATCACCTACCTGCACGAATTCGATCGACAAATTCAAGGTCCTGCTTGGGGTTACCCTACGGAGGGTGCATACTACAGAGACGCTTCATCAACAGATTCGCTACTGGCTGTGAAAATTCCTTTCTTTGCTATAAATGCTGAGGATGACCCTGTAAGCATCACTCACTTCTCTTGGACCTCAATACCTACTAACATATCTGCAGATCGCTACCGGTGAATGCTTACCACGTGAAGAAATCAAGAAGAATCCATACACAGTGCTGTGTACCACATCTCTAGGTGGCCACTTATCATGGTTTGAGATCGGGGGTCACAGGTGGCATGCTCGCCCAGTAAGTTGAAGCTTTCTCGATTCATATAACTACCACTAATAAAATGCAGTGTGTCAACTTCCTGAACAAAATGGCTTTCGAAGTACAACTTGACACCATTGTTCCTCCTGACGCACACGATTCCGCTGATTTGAGTCCCCCTCGCCCTAAATTTCAACCGATGGTTCGAAAATGGACTTGAGATTCCGCTATTATAAGCAACTTGAACTGGAGATGTTAGAATAGAGCGAGGCATGTTTTATAGACTTTATTTAGATATCGTAGCAATTCTCAAACACAGTAATAATCTAATGTCAATACACCGCTGGTATACCTCAAATGCCATTTTTAATCCTCGTCCCACCCAAGTTGCATTCGCCATAACGCCCGAATATAATTATGCCTGCCTGCCTGTCTTTCCCACAATGATAATCTTCGACTGAAAATCCGTAATTCGACCTTTCAAGCAAACGAAACGGTCTTCTTTTTAGGCTTCAAAGGTTTCGTTCCAGCCAATGCCTCTCCCCTCACATTATCACCCTCATCATCTCCCCCTCTATTTCTCTTTTTCCTCAAACCCTGCTTCATTTCACTTAATTTTTCCTTTTGTAATTGCTGCTTTCTCTCATGCTCTGCCTTTCTCGCCTCTCGAATCTCTTCCATCTGACGGGCTCTCATCATCTTACTCTCGATTTGGCCATCCTTGTCCGCGTTTACCATTGCGAGAATCGTCATCATGGATTCCTATTTGCGCAAGTGATTAGTCCAAGTTCCTCATGTAAATAATTGATCGACCCAATCTCCCAACCCCAATCTCAATTTTTCCTTCTCATCCCACACGCTCCAAGACAAAAATAGACAAACAGAAAAAACCCACCCTATCATCCACAAAAACCTTCCCCTTCTTCTTTCCCTTTGGCTTCTCTACTCCCACCGGTGTAATCATGTTTAGCGCCGGGATACCCAATTCCTTCTCCGTATAAACTCTCCTCTTCTTCTTCAACGTCGCCAATTTACTTCCTTGCTTCTGCTGTTTTGGTGGGGCTCCCTTAGACTGTGTAGCTTTTTTGCCTTTCGATTTCGAGACTCCATCGCTTTGAGCTCGAGAAACGGTTTTGCTGTTGCGGATTCCAGAGCCGTTTGCAGCATGCTTGGATGCATTTTTGTTTTTTACGGTACTGGTGCGGGAAGGCGCCATTGTGATGGTAGTTGAATTGAATGGTGTTGTGAGGAGGAATGTTTGGTGATAGGATTTGGTATGCGATAAAAGATTTACTGATATGCGATGGTTCGATGGAAATTTACATTTTTTTGCCAAGAAAGCGGCGAGCTAGCGGACGGGGTGGAGCAATGAATGCCCCCCGCGAAACTTTAGAGACACCCTTTGAGCCTATCAGACAATTATTTCGACGAATTACCTAGTAATGTTCAGAAGCCGTTTACTTTAGGAGTCTGGAGGTGAATTAGAAATGCAGGTGCTGAGTATACGAAATACAAATATACATATATATGATCTTCTTCTAATGCTAGATCCTTATCTATAAATGGCTTGGTATATTTTTTTAACCCTCCTTGTTAACTTGGAATCTCCTAGCCATTCCTGCAGCCATTCCTGCAGCCATTCAATATCTGAGTCCAGTATGTCCATTCATGACAAGTCAAAATCCCACACCAAATATTTCTTTTGATATCATTACAATTTCCCCTCAAGTGCTCAAAGTACCCTTTGTACTTGGAACCTCACCCTCTCTACCCGCTACTATCGAAGTAGCCTGTCTAACTGCCACAGCCAATGCCTTGAACGCACTCTCCGCTCTGTGGTGATCGTTATCACCCCTCAAACAATCCACATGTAATGTGATTCTTGCGCCCTGTGCAAAACTCTGCAGACAATGTGGGATCATTTCACAACTCAAATCTCCAATCTTCTCTCTTTTGAGTCCCAAATCTATCACACTAAATGGGCGGTTTGAAATATCGACAACCGCTCGCGAAAGTGCTTCATCGAGGGGGCAGTATGCGGATCCAAAACGTGCAATGCCTACAGGGGTTCCAAGAGCTTTTGCAAATGATGTGCCGAGTGCGATACAGACATCTTCAGCGGTATGGTGGTCATCGACTAAAATTTAAATTAGCATTTATATGGCCAAAAACGAATCCCGCAGAAGAATAGATGAGAGGACAAAAACATACTGTGTAGATCTCCTTTGCAATTGATCGCTAAACTCCAACCAGCATGCTTTGCCAAAGCATGCAACATATGATCCAAAAATCCAATTCCAGTATGGATAGCAATGTGTTGTGACTTTGATACCTGGGAAGCATGTCCCTCTTCACCACTGAGCAATTTCTTATCAGTATCCGCTGGGAACTCTCCTCCATCGAGGTTGATTGCCAGTTGAATACTAGTCTCATTTGTATCGCGCGCAAGCGCCGTTGATCTTACTGGAGCCATTGTTGTGATTAATAAGATATTGAGTAAAATTTGTGATGAAGGGGTTATGTATTATATCACACTTTACTACCACAGATACTGGTTCCAAAAAATTATATCGGTCGGACTATTGGTCGGAATGAACCGAGGCGGGACCATGAATAATGACGTTCCAATCAAAGCCCACGGGATTTGAATCCTATGATCATTCTGATTCAACCTCTTTTTGCAGCAAGATAAATGCAAACATAAGGTTCAAAATGCACCAAACTGGTGGATTAAGAAACGAAGAAGCGAATGTTGCAGCTTGGGAAGCTGGAAAGGGTGCTGCAGTTGGCGGTGCAAAGGTAATTGACTCTTCATGCGTTTTTGGTAACCAGCTTTTCAGGACTTCTGTTGATTGTGATGCTGTAGTGGGGCTTGTTTGCAGCTGCATTGGGAGGTGCTGGATATGCTCTTTCTCCGATATACAAAGGATTGACGATTCAATTCAAAGTGTGAGTCAGATTGCAGTATATTGGGGAATAAATGACTAATAATCGTGTGAATAGATTTATCCAGATGGGCTTTATGGTCATGGGAGGTTCTCTTGAAGCGGATCGACGCATCAGAGAATATGAAGCAAAAGTACGAATGGAGAAACGGATGATCAGGGATCGAGCAGTGTGGAACCAGTTTGAAGAAGAATACGAGCAATCCGCTTCAAAGCAAGATAAATCAAGGTAAAATTGTACTCATAAGGAGTTTTCAGGGTTCTTGTACATAACCAATATCATGTACGCCAGCTGTATCACAAAGCTCCAAACTCCCAGTAATGCTTTTTCTCATATTTCCCATTATTTAGCAACGAATTGTCTTGAATCCATATTCAACTTGCAAAGCCTTGCAATACAACCACTCAATTGAAGTAGCGTCTGAACTCCTTCCAGAATTTTCATATGCGTGAATCCAATTTCCTTGATAAACTCTAATTTCGAATGCTCACTCAAAGTATTGACCGTCTTCGTAACCCTGAACATAGTGCTTATAATATCGTGACTCGAGTATCCCAAGCCCCATAACTCGTTCAATGTCTCCAATGCAGAATCAATTTTGCCCTCGTAGCATGCCTTTATCATAGCTTGTACTTTGATAGGGTGAGGTGAATCCACAACCTTGAAGACATTATCTCCGTTGACGAGTCCAAAACCAGCAAAAGTGGACTGCAAATTATTGATAGCCTGGCGCATGTCTCCCTCTGCGCTGAAAACCAGAGCAGCCAATCCATCATCACTATATTCCACCTTCTCTGTCTCGATGATTTGTAACAATCGTTTGACCACTTGCTGATCTGTCAGTCTTGCATATCGTAAAATTGCGCATCTGGATTGTAAAGGCTCGATAATCTTATTCGATTGATTGCATGCAAAGGCAAATCTTGTAGTCGAACTGTATATCTCCATCGTGCGACGTAAGGCTTGTTGAGCTCCAGATGTCATACTATCTGCTTCATCGAGAATAACGAGTTTATGGCGACCGGCGGGGAGTGTGACTTTCTTTTGCGCAAATCCCTTAATGCGGTTGCGCACAACATCGATACCTGGTCGTCTATGTATCAGCACAACTGACCTATGAATCCGCTGAAGACGACATACCTCTTTCGTCACTGGCATTCAATTCTAATACTGCCTCCTTGTATGACTCTCCTAACAGTTGCCTAGCCAGACACAGCACACTCGTTGTCTTTCCAATACCTGGCATACCAGAAATAATGACATGAGGCATATTTCCATCTTTCGCTATAATCTTTAGTCGTTCTATCGTCTCCGTATTTCCTACTACATCATCGAGGAACACCGGTCGATATTTCTCAACCCTGGTTGCTTCTAATCAGCCTACTATTCTTGCAGGAGAATCTGGACAACATACCAGGGCAATTCATAATTCGTAACTCCATTAGTGTTGGCTTTCAGTGCTTTCTTTGCAGCACTAGTAGAGGACTCTCCAACTTCTGGGGCTTTGCTGGTCGTCATGTTGAGATTTTTGACAAATGTTGAGTGAGGTTGACGCGTCGAAACTGGAGAGACGCGATTTTCAATTTACACGACCGTGAATATTTAAGCCACGTGATTAATTCATTACCACAACCACAACTTTTGAAGGAACGCAATTCTTCATGCAAATATTATGGACAATCACAAGCTTGTAAACAGACTACATGAGACCATGTAACAGAAATTTTGAGATCATTGATTGTAATCGTGTCCGATCTGTTAAGTAGCATTGACCTTAACCTCATCCTTCAGATGAGCCACTGCTTATCACGTTCATGCTATCATCTTTTTCTTTCGGCCGTCTTTCACAATGAGATTTGCTCCTTCTTCTTGAGTTCAGACTTGAAGGCTCGAGTTTGTACAACCATGCAATGTCCATAGTTGGAAGGTCATGCTGATATAGCACAAGCACATCCATCATACTCACTTCGAGTTCAGATTTGTAGGTAGCTATTGAACTACTTCTTCTTCGATTCATACAATCGAAACTGCACTTGAATTTGTTCAAGCAAATTCAAATCGAATATGAGATATACAACAAAACTTTTAATACTCTCGGTTATCGAAATATATGAGATTTCGAAGACTCAAAGTGAGTCTATAACTCTGTAGTGGTATAATCCGTAGTTGACGAAGCAACTACTTCGTTAAGTATAATTAAAATAATCTAAATAATCTAAATAATCTTTTATAAAAAAAACTATATTCTAATTTCTACTATTTCTATTAAATTATTTATATAATAATAAGATAACAAAATAAACAAACAAATAAATAAATAAATAAGAATAATAAAAATAACAATGAAAACATTAGAAAATACTAGACGATCCGAAACACTCACTTTCAAATAAAAAGTTTACTTATATAAAATTCGATTAATAATCAAAGAATATAACTATATAAATTAGAGTTAACTAGTATTCTTGTTTGAATAGTATATTCTATACTTTATAGTATAACGATAAAGCTTCTAATTAAAGAACAAATCGAAAGTGAATAACAAGAGATGAAAACCTCCTCCCCTTTAAACTTTCGGCTAATGCCTCTAGCTTCTATGCTCGCTCCTCTCCTCCTTTAGCTCCTATACTCACTCCTTCCCTCTTAACTCCTACACTCGCTCCCTTTCATTCACCTTTCTCTAAAACCTTTTAGGGCTCTTATTTTCTTTATTTATCTTAAAATTCAATAATAAATGGTTCTCATTTTGAACTGGAAATATTCGTCGCTGACGAAGTAAATGCTTCATTAATGACAAAGAAAATATTAATACAATACTTTACATTGTATAGAGATTTGCATTGAATTTCTTTTCGTACTTAGGTATTAACTTTGCCACCACAGGGTAATAATACATACATTCTTTGGATTGAATCTTTAGCAAATCAACGGTTAGAGCGGCCGTAAATTATCGAACATTCAGATATGAAGCAGGTCTTCTGGCTCCAAGACCTATATTTCAATTAATGGGCAATGATCACAATAGCGATTCTGCTGTTAATTTCTCGAGATACTCAACGGCGTGGGAAGTCAAGGATCTCAACAGTAATCCCGTGACATGCGCATCGTGCACCCCGCTTATCGGTCGGCAGCACTATTCAAACATGACGTTAGAAATATCATCATTGTATGAAAGATCGATATATATATACAAATCATTAGACACCTCTTCTGCTAAAGATGGAACGTGATGACAATTCTCTGGGTGAAACTGCATCTCGAGGTATAGCTACCTCACAAGAATACATTACACATGATCGAGAATCATTTACTCTCGATACCACCCACTCCGATATCGACCCCCGACAAATAGAATCAAACCACAAACGAGCATCTGTCCTGATCGGTTCTGCAATCTTACAACTACCCATATGGGGCAAGTCTCCGTCTCCCTCAACCCTCAACCCCATCTCCTAACACTTTCAGGCTTCGCCATGAACTACGGAGTCCTCCAAGAATACTACTCCACAAACTGGACGCTGCGAGGAAACCTCGCCATAACCGGTATCATCGGCACCACCTCCAACGGCGTCATGTACATCTCTATGCCTTTGCTTTTCCTCCTCTTCACCAAGCGCTGGGCCCGCTATCGACAAACCGCCGCTCTAGCCGGCGTCCTCCTCGCCTGTCTCAGCTTCGTGCTTTCCGCATGGAGTACACACGTCTGGCATTTAGTAGTCACCCAAGGCATCCTCTCTTCATTCGGCTGCGCTCTAATCTACAGTCCCACCACCCTATCCCTCGGAGAATGGTATTCTACCCACAACCGCGCCGTTGCATATGGCATCGTGCTCTCCTGCAAAAACATCGTCGGTTCCGCATGTCCATTTCTCCTGCGCGTATTACTCGATACCTATGGATTTCGCACTACGCTCCGCATCTGGGCTGCTCTTCTCATCGGAACCAGTATTCCCGCAATCTATCTAATTCCCACCCATCCCTCCAATCTGTCCTCACCGCATCAACGAACCCGGAAAATCCCCTGGGAATTTCTCCATCATCGAACTTTCTGGATCTACACCATCGCCATCGTTCTCCAAAGCAGCGGCTACGGAATCCCGCAAACATATCTAAACACCTACGCTCACGACGTAACACTGCTTTCCCAAACCACCGCAACTCTCCTCCTCACCCTCTTCAACATCCCCGGTGTGCTATCCTCCTTTTTCTTCGGATATCTAAGCGATAATAAACGATTCCCCCTCTCCGCCACAACCGTAACCTCCATCTCCGCGCTCGCATCCGCGCTCTCCGCATTCCTATTCTGGGGTTTGACGTCCCCAGGAAGCATGGCACTCCTCGTTCTCTTCTCTCTGACCTTTGGTTTTTTCGCCGGCGGGTACAGCGCGACGTGGGGCGGGATACTGAAGGAAATGGAGCGCGAAGCCGCGGAGAGGAATGAACCGATTGATACCGGTGTGCTCTATGGGCTTTTGAATGGAGCGAGGGGAATTGGTTATGTGAGTGGTGGGTTAGCGGGAGTGCCGTTGTTGAAAGCGGGAAGTGTGGGAGTAGGCTTGGGACATTTTGGCTATGGGACGAGTTATGGGCCGTTGATTATTTTCACGGGGTTGTCGTCTGTGTTTGGGGGTTGGGGATTGGTGTGGAAATGGAAGAAGTGGTTTCATTTTTCATAGAAAGTTGGAGTTGTACATTGGGTAGGTGGCAGTTTGCCGTGTTTAGGTCCTTGTTATACAGTGTTGAAACTTCTTCGAAAGGTAAGACGTGGCTTGAAATCAAAATCGTTTGGCAAAGAATATACCACCAGGAAAATAGATATAGAAATACAAAAATAAATTTTGCATTCCATTAATTAACCATCCGTCAAACTCTCCTCATAAATCAGTAGGAACTTATTCAGCCAACTCAACAAATTCACCCGTGTCCTTTCATCCCAGCCCCAATGAGCCCACGCATACACGACTTCCGACATTACACCCGGGGAGCTCCCTCAATTCCCCCAAATGAGCGTGCAGTGTACATTTGAGAGCACACCTCGTCCTCACACTAAACGAAGAGCTATTCGGATACTCCACTACTAACATCCCATCTAGATCTCTCACTTGAGAGTCTTCACCTGAGCTTTATATATCTAATTACAGTGCCAAAACCCGGACATGCCACCTAGTGAGCGTCGACTTCGATTCACCCTCCTTGAGCTTCCTCCCGGTGAATGTTGTCTCCATGTTTAGCTCATCTCGTATCGACCAACACTGATATCACCTAGCTGCCAAATTCTTACACCTATCCGCCTGCGAGATCGGATAATAGTGTTCATTTGGCAAAGTCCAGAAACACGATTTGTGTGTAAAAAGATTCTCCGTTAATTCATTTCATCCATTAAAATCCCTATACAATCTACCTCTTTCTCGTTTGTCTATCCCAGAAAACCCCATCCCATAATTACAAATATCATATCATTTTAACATATACCCTGATAGTCCCATCCGAATCCCAGTAAATGTATATGATCACACTGAACGATCCAACAATTCATATCTATCCTTCCCACTGACTCTTCTCCAAAGAGCCATTCCCCTCCTCGACGATTTACCCGATCGCACCACCCACATATTCCACGCCAACCACAGAAATCCACCTACAACTCCCGCAATCGCAAAACCCGCAACCGTAAGCAAGAACCAATGTTTGCCCATCCAGAAAATCGTCTGTGCGTCTTTTCCATGCCAGCTATTGCCTTTGACAATGTTGAAGAAACTCCATGCGTGTTTGTTGTATTCATCTGGCAAGAGATTACGCACACGGCCTGCTTCGTCGGTAACAGTTCGCATGTATTCGATCCAGAGAACGGAGAGGAAGAGCGGGCCGGTGCTGTACATGACAGTGATATATGGCATGCCCCAGTTTCTGTTATATGCTTGGAGAGATTCGATGACGCGGAGGAAGAAGGGGTGTTGGGGGACGGATCCCATAGCATCGTTACTGATTCCGGTGGGGATTGTTCTGCGCAACCAGGCGGGATAACTGAGGAGGGGATCGAGACGTCGTTTACAGCCGTCGTCGAGATCGATGTATATGCCTCCGTAGTGTGCTAATACGAAATAGCGGATAGAATCTGCGCGTTGGATTGGGAAGGGGTAGCTGTCGAATGTATCGAGGAACCAAGGATATTCCGTTGCAATGAAAGCTCTTGAGGCTTCATCTGTCCATAACTGTAATAAGTTAGCATATCATTCCTGTTCTCATTTCCCCGTCGACTAAAGTGAACATACCTTATATTCATAATCATCATGCAATTCAATACACGATTGTTGTCCCGCCTTCCATCGCTCAGGAATCGACTCATTGATATATGTCTGATGAATGATCTTGGGAATAAGCTGTGTGCGATTCTCAATCAATTCGGAACCTGGCGCAGGTATTTCGGAGCGGTGAATAGCATCTGCAGCTCCATCTATGAAGAGTAGTGATATGAGGGTGCTGAAGGCATTTACAAGGAAACCAATTACTATAAAGTTGATGACCAGGAATAGAAGAGTACCACGCCTCATGGTAAGGTTGGGCAAAGAATCGAGGATATAGAAAAGCTTTTCCCTCACGGGCTTCAATTTTTCGATTGTGTCGTAGTTATAACGAGTGAGGGTTGTGATGAAAGTTGATCGATAAGGGGTCGTAGGTAAGGGTCTCGAGATAACGGAGGGGTCGATTAGAGAAATTGTAGGATACTCTAGGAGAGTAAGAATCGAGGAATTTCCAAAATCAGCTACGGCATCTGTTAAAGGAGTGTTGGTATGGATGTAGGTAATATTGGGTTGATCGTAGGATTTAAAAAGGACAGGACCAGACTGTTTTCAAAATTTATCAAGAAGGTGTTTTTGCTTAAATAAATAAATAAATAAATATGGTAGAAATTAATTAATAAATTTCACTAATGGTAAAAAGTAGAGCTGGAAGTGAAAGGGGAAATTAATGCATCCACCGGTGTATGCACAAAGATAGGGATAAGAACTGATTTGGTGGGACAAAGAATATCGTATTTCGTATACATACATGCACCTTAGGTATCGACCGACCAGTAGGTTCTTGAAGATAATCTTGTGACAGAAACCTCAAATTATGCCAAGAAACCAAAGTAGATCAAATTAAAGTGTTAGCGTTGAAAAGGATTAGACGCATGAATGAAGTAGGTAGAATGAGAATGATAACAATAAAGGTTTTACTGTAGTCCAGACAGACTAGATGGGATTAGAATGGTGAGTACGATATAAAAAGATAGTTGAAGATTCCAAAATGATTGTGTATTTCGCACGGGATGATCTATAACACTATCTAAGCCATCTTGCATTACCTAGTTTACCTAGTTGAAAGGGGGGGAGGGGGGCATTGGTTGTCAAATATCCCTACTGATATAATACTGCTAGCTCACTAATTATCTAGTATGCGTACGTCGGACTCTTAACAAAAAGCCGATTTACACATATTTGAATATTAGCTCCGTCTGTATACTTCGTACACGGAACGGACATATTTGAAGATTTCCATCCGATATCATATCACAGTCCCCCACACTCTGGATCTACAAAATCTTCTAGAAACTCGCCACCCCTTTCCAAACGCACATCTGCCTCCGCCTCCGCCTCCGCCTCCGCTTACGCCACAACATTGAAATGTCAGAAGACTCCAGCTGGGCAATCCGTGGACTTCACCCAAGACCCAAGCCTTCAAGCCTCGAATTCTTATTTCAAGATCTTGATGTCATTATTGCCATCATTCTTCCTAATTCCCGTCTAAACATTCCAGATATCGTTACTACTTACCATTTTCTTCACTCTCGTCAAGCAAAACACGGGTTGGTGTTTTCTCGACTAAACCTAACCTTTGCGTGCATTCACTCCATTCTAAATGTAAGCATTAAACCATCTACATACCAAGTTAGCAATTGTGGGATCCCTATTCAGAGAAATAGAGACTCAAGATCACCTATATCTGATCTCCAAGAATGCAAAATGTAAGTTGCAAGATGTAAATCTTAGAACACATTACAGCGAGAACACCTGTCTCGCAACTTGATGTAGGATACCATTACAAGACCTGTTTCAACAAAACATACATGTCAATATACCTGGATTTCCCTTTCACACCCCAAACTTCCTTCTGCATTCTTTCTTCCCCCCGCAAAATCCTGCGCAAGACACGGGTCCACCCAATATACCCACGTCCACCAGCTCGCGCGGTGCAATTTTAGTCCCATCTCTGCAAGCAGATAATCCGCATACCATATCAGTCAAAGAAAATGCAACCGCCCTTCTGACCATGCGATGGATACCGACGGTGCGAAAACCCATTCGTATATGCGACACGCTGTTGCATTTCTGCAAGTGCAGAGAGTGCTAGGTGTCCGCATGGATACGCCGTGCTCCAAATGGCTTGCGCTTCGGCGGCTCGAAATGAGTTTCATATGTCGATGTGGCCGAGGAGGACGATGAATCCCGTGGGATTGGGATCGATAGGGGCAATGCCGTTGTAAAGTTTAGCAGTCGTGGTTGGAGTGGAGAGTCGTTTTTGGTGCGGAGGGGGATATGTGAGTTATGTTATGGGAAGCGGGAGAGGACGACGTGATCAGCATGGGAGATGAGGTCTCCCCGAAAATGATTTTCTGAATCTGAAGATGGAGATTCAGAGATAGGGTGCGGAAGCCCGAGCGATTCGGTTAGTGAGGGGGAGAAAAATGGGTAGTTGGATCTCCAGCGTGTACCACATATCAGCGTGTTAATCAGTATGGAGGTGCCGTCATCGAGAAGCATGCTGTGTGGCATGAGGGATTTAATATCCTGGCGATGGATTGAATATCTTGGGTAATTGCACCCCAAATTTCATCATGCTGCGTCAAGCCTATAGGGTCAGTAAACCAGAAATCCCTACACATAAGCATCATAAGGGAATCTTACGGTAAGCAAGATAGAGTGCTCACGAAGTAGTGAAGTCAAGCAATGGAACAGATGTTGAACCAAAACATATTGACTGTCCTAGGCCAGGAAAACTGCGGGATTAGTGGAAAGTTCAGAGGCAGATTTAATTTAGTTAAATGGAAGAAGATGGAGCCTCTTGCATCTGCTGAAAAAGCTAAGATAGATGCAAATATCTACCAGACGGTCTACTTTCCGGGTAAGAATTATCCAAATGGCTACCTGATCAAAAGAAAACTTCTTAATACTATCAGCTACCAAATGAATATGCAACGATCCTAATTTGAATATTCCCAAAAGAATAAATATCACAACATCATCCTTAACAAAAATTACAATCTTTCCTACACTCCCTATATAGCTCAAACACTATCAACTCGATAGCCCATCTCTCTCCCAATCTACAAATCTAACACTCAGCGTATTCAAATTTCAAGTTCCTCGTTCACTTCTCCTTGTAGATACCACATCCCATCGTATCATCCAAGCCGAGAAGAAAACATCAAAATCAAAACCGGAATTCGAACCAGACACAGCTTCTTCAATTCCCAACCCTTTTACATCTTTATTGGGCCGAGAGAGTCCAAAGACTAAATGATATCGTCCTATCTCCTACCGTATCTTTGAACCGTTGTAGGAGAATATTCTCTCAATGAGCTTGCAGTACATCACTCATCACTCACATCACAACTCTCTACCCTCCAATCTGAAACTCGCATCGTGACTCGATGACCTCATATCGAACTCCTTGACAAATGTTGTTCTCCCTCCTGTACATTTACTGAAACAAATGGGCCTTTTCAAGAGTGCGAAATCTTGATTTGTGCAAACATGGAAATATGTATACACATCCACTTCTACTTCCTTTTCTATTTCGTAAGACTGTAAGCCGCATGAGTTAAAGTACGAACAGGTGGGCAAAAAACTGTATCGTTCAGTAGGATACTTACGCTTATCTACTCTGAGATATACAGAGTAAAATTTTCAATAACCTCACATTCTTGAAAAAGTATTTATTGCATTCAATAAATACACAATCCTATCCCTACGTCATACTCAAGCCCGGCATACTCCCCGGCATAGCATATTCATCTCTCCCCCTACTTTTCCTCCTAAACCTCAATCCATCCTCACTCCCCTCATCTGGCACATCCAAACTAACCCCCAATCTACTCCTCCCCACTCTAACTCCCGTTTCGGCCTCAACCTCCTTCCTAGCCTCCTCCCGCAAATCCCTCTCCACATCTCTACTCCTCGCCCTCCCAATACCCCCCGCATCAGACCCCGTATCCAAATCCTCTCCACCCCTCGTATTCTTCTTTCTCGGCCACAAGCTCGGAAGTTCAATTTGCTGAAACCGCGGCTCCACACAGCGTTCATCAAACCAAGTATGTAACCTCGCCTCAATCAACTGCGCAATTTTCGGCACATCTTGCAGCCGCGATCTACTCCCCACCAAACTACGTATCGAAAGATCCAGTCTATAATCATCCAAGAAACAGAACGCCAGCGTCGTAGGACTCCCATTCAACGGACTTCCCGGGACAAACGAGATAGACAAAGTCCCACTAAACCTCACGACCGAAACCGCCAACGCCACCGGCAACACCGCAACCAGCGGTTTCGGATAATTCAGCAGCAACTTCGTTTCCACGGCCAACGTGATAAAATCACTCAAATCCACATCCATCCTAGCCTGCAACCTTCCATGCTCTCTCCCCGCAGCCCCTCCTTCCCTCCCCAACGTCATCCCATCCTCATCTACCGGAATCACCCTACAATTACTGAAAATCGGGAAATCCTCTCCCAGACTCAATTCCGTGACTTTAATCTCATCCAAAAAATCGGGGCGATTCCCCCCATTCAACGCCTTCGTCAGACTAGTAAGAATCGCATCGTCATGCTGCGCGTCCGCGCGAAATTGTGCAATCGTTTGTGCGATCAACACATTGAACCAATCCAGACTTTCCGGTTGATGACTATCCACATTGTAGTATGTTTTACTCAGTATAGCATTGGTAGTCAACGGCGCCGGGTTCCTCAGAACGCTAGAGCGTTTGCGATTGAGAGGTTGTGAAGCATGGCGTGGTGTTGAGCTGCGGAGAGTGAGGAGAGATCTTTTGTGTGCGAGGGTTCGGGAACGGCGCTCTGTGGCCCGGAGAGCAGCGGATACGTCTGGAGAGGGAGGATCGCCAAAGATGAAGAATTTGATGAAAGCTCCGATGAGAATGACGATGGAGAGTTGGCCTAATAGTAGTCCTTGGGTAAATGAGAGTCTGCGAATGTATATCAGTATGAATCCATTCTAATTGAAATACTTAAGAAAGTAGCAAGGGAAGAAGAACGAACGAGGATTCAGCCTTGTCTGGAATGGGAGCCGGGATTGTCATCTTAGTTATGCGATTGAAGTGCGAACTTCATGCGAATAAGATGTGGAATAGAAGACGAAATAAAGAAAGAATCATGAATCTACAATGATTGACATGTTACAATCAGAGGCTTTGCTATCTACTTGTACTCCTGTGACATATGAGATAGCTAGCTTAAAATACTGCCGTAGCTCAAATGCGGGATGTGTTTGTATTTGATTTTCTCCATTTCGGAAGCGACGTCATTCAGCCCTATCAATTGATACTACGAAAAAAAAGTCCAAACAAAAACCATAAAAGATCTTGAAGAGTTGATACTGTATATCAGCATTGATTGTATTGTCGAATTATCTGTAGGTAAATGATTGCTTGTACGCCATCAGACCAGATTTCGTCAATTCTACAATAAGTTGCCGAAGAATTCCTCATTACCATGATTCCCATTTGATACCTTTATTCAGAAAAGCCACATCACTGTCACACCCGCAACTAAGTATATTAACATACTTTTAAGATTCCTAAAACACTACGAATTTCTATTATCCATTGCTCATGAACGCATCATGTCCCATTCATACGCCATGACTCAGAAAATCTCAGACCCTAGAAGTTGTGCATAAGGTTGAAAGGTGTGTAAAAAGAAGACCGGCTTGTCAAAAATCTCTGGAAATTATTCCCATCTATCGTACGTCAAACAATAAAAAGTGTATAGTACAAATATATATCTCCAAGCTCTGCCCCCATTTTCCTCGATTTAGATGTGAAGACTGGCCACAGAGAGCCGTCTTGTCGAGGCCGTCAGTCATTTTCTAGATCGTGCTTCATATTCTAGATTAAAAGCACTCAAAACGGAGTACTATTGATGGGTTATATTGCTAACCCATTTGATTAAGAGTGCCAGCACATATTTATGCCTTTGCAGCATCGCGATTGCTCTGGGAGCTGGCGCTCATGACTGGTTGTGTTGTGGGAAGAATACTTCCCTTCGATTGGTTTTGTCTAACCTTTGCCCATGCATAAACGATACCACTGACAAAACCGATGAAGATGGCAGATACACTTCCGAATGTAACAGGGGCTGCGAAGAAAACGAGACCACTGACAGCGATTGGCAACTTGTTGAGAGCACCAACCATTGAATAGGTTGTGGAGGAAGTGACACGGATACACCAAGCAGAGCAGTATGAGATGAAGATAGTAGCAAGACCAGAGTAGATCATGCCGAGAATGAGGTTGTTTCGGGTCTCAAGTGGGAAGTTCTTGGTAAGGTTCTCGGATGACCAGTTTTCGAAAATGAACGAGCAAACGAAGAGGACAGGGATAGTGAGGAGATTGTTGTAGAACATAGCTAGAACAAAATTAGAATTGAAGAGGAAGTTGCAATTGCAGAGAAAAACTTACTGTCCCAATCCTTGAAGTTCATCTTCTTGATAACCTTACGCATAGACAAAACGTATGCTGCAGTGCAGAAAACGTTCATACCCATCCACGCATATCCAGCATTCAATGTGGAGAGAGCAGCAGCAGCTTCTGCGGATTGTGCAGCACCACCTCCATACAAAGCATGTTGGATATCAGCCCAAGCAGCAACGACGGAACTGAGAACCATAAGACCGAATGAGAAGAGAGCTGAAGGAGTGACGCTTCCTCCGAACCACAAAACCTCACCATATGCGATCACAATGATTGTCAAGTTCTTGAAGATTGTGTAAACGGGAACGGAGAGGAATTGAAGAGCCTTTGTACTGGTGTAGATCATGCCGACGAGAAGAAGTGAGATAGGAAACCCTAATCTATGTTAGCCGCCAAATTCGCTCCGACTGGAATACAGACACTTACATGTCTTCGCCTTCTTGGTGTCAAAAGGTGCAAGATTTGTGATCAATCCCGCTTGCTTGCAGATGATAATCGCAATGATACATACAACAGACTGCTGGCGTTAGTCAAGATCTAGCAGAACAATGGCATTCGACGCATACCTGAATAGCGAGATAGAAGAAGTTCAAATTCCAGTTTGAACCCGAGACGCAGTACTTATTGGTCACGGTCATAGAAATCGATGCCAAACAGTAGGCAAGAATGGAGATTCCTGGGCTATTCGTAACATTGGAGAGGTCAAAGGCAGAGTTTCCTCTTTTGGCTGCTGCCCCTGGCTTGGCCAGAAAAGGATCGCGTTGAGATGGAGATGAACGCCCATTGAAATTGCGCATCTCGAGATCTTCGTTCTTCTTGTCATCCATGATTGCGATTGTTCTCGGTGAAAGAAAGGTAATTTCTTATCGTGGTTCTGATGGTAGAGATGCGCAAAAAGAGAGGTACGAACTTAGGGATTCGTAATCGGTCGGAGCTTCGTTAATAGATGCCCGTTAGATAATATCTAGTTGTCGAAATGAAGAGACTAAAGATTAAAAGGGGATTCTGCAATGAACTCCAATTGTCCTCAATCAGGTATGTGTAAGAAATACCTAATGAGATGAAAAGATAGAAAGAGAGTGTTGAATATGCAGTTTAGAAAATTATGGTAGAGAGGACAACCAGACCGAATCTTTGATCGCTTTAGTACAGGGGGCTAAGATTGGGTGTAAGAAATTCTGTGTGGGGGATAAAAATAGTCAAGCAGCAATACGAATCAACTCGCCAGTCCGTTTTGACAAGAATCCACCCTTTTGTACGTGATCTACAAAAAAGGGGACCAACCAGGTGAAAATTCTGGAGAAGAGGCTCAATACATTTTCGTAGTCACTCACGAGATTTCCATCTCAGAAATTCAAAAGGAAATCGAAGCCAGGGGGTAGAAGCAAGGACCTTTCGATTCTTCCAGTCACTTAAACGAGATCTTACCTGCGTGCCCGTGGATTTGGATACAATCAAATTCACTGCGTGAATAGATCAATTTCTAGCAAGAAGTCACACTTCTGGACATAAGCTATTTCGTTGCATACAAGCGTTTGCAACCAGCGTGTCCCAATCTACAAGACAGTCCAACACAACGTTTTACCAGACCTCTTGAATCTGTTTCTGGATCATCATGTCAAATACACTTGATCCTCTCGTCGCAAAGGTGCTTGATCACGCCGATTCCGATGATGAAGATGCTGTGAGTGTTTAATTTCATTTTGTTAATTCCACTTGTTATCGACGTAGTTGTCACTTGACTCTCAAAGTTAAGCCAGGAATTCCATACAGGATTTGAGTGTCTAGAGGACAAGGCTCTCTTTGACTTAATCTCATGCTGGAAATGTCGAGCCATCTTTCTATCTACCTAGCAGCCATGCCCTCAAATACAAAACCACACATGCCCTCACGTTCTCAAATATACATACATACATCCATCTATCCATCTCTCCCAACTCCCCCATCAATTTTCTAACACCCTCCCCAGCTCATCGCCTCCCTCGAAGAAGACCCCGCCGTCGACGCCTTCCGCGAACAACGCCTCCAACAACTCCACAGCGAATTCACGCGAGCCAAATCCCAAAAAACCCAAGGCTTCGGCTCCTACACCGAAATCAAAGAAGAAAAAGCACTCATGGACCTCACCGCCTCCGTCAAATACGCCGTGGTCCATTTTTCCAAAGATGATTTCGCCCGCTGTGGTGTCATGGATACTCATCTTTCCGTACGTTTCTCTCCCATTCCTTCCCCCATCTCCTACAAAATCTATCACGAAGACTAAAAATCTAAATCCCAAAAAAATAGACACTAGCACCCAAACATCTCGACACCCGATTCCTCAAGATCGACGTCGAAAACGCACCCTTCCTCGTCACGAAATTAAACGTGAAAATCCTACCATGTGTTCTAGTATTCATAGACGGCCGATCCGTCGACCGAATAGTTGGATTCGAGGGCTTGGGATACACGCCCGATACCTTTACCACGAAAGATTTGGAAGCAAGGCTCTTAGCCTCAGGCGTCATAAAACGTCAAACCACGGCCGGAACACTGTATCTCGACAAGAAAGCCAAGAAGCAGGAAGAGGAAGACGATGATGATGACTGGGATGATTGAGGACGAGGAATAGCTGTGAAAATGTCATTTGAGCAAGTGAAAGCGAGTACTTCGTACATATTTTTCTCAATCGAAGCTAGATATCGTGAAAGGATGTTCCCTCCTCATACTAAATCGCATCTCCGAAGCCCCACGACGATAGATCTTCGTTGGATCATAAGAATGATCATATGAATCAGAGAAAATCATGAGGGATCTGAAAGCAAAGCTCGGGGGCCAATTTCGCTTGATATACAATGTTCATGCTGGGAGAAACATTCTTCTGGCTTATACCTAGAAGTATTCAATCACAAATTTCAGGGAATACCGGATGCAAATTTTATTTCCCCCGCTTCTATCTCCATAATCATTGAGTTTTGCATGATACGTTTAATCAACGAAACAATCGTATATCATTAAAGTAGGTAGCTCATAGCTATATTAAAACTTGACCAAGGCAAATTCGCTTGCAGACAATACCCATAGATAGTTCCACCAGAAGTACGCACCCACTACCAGGAGAGAATAATATGTGATGGTCCAGAGAATATTTAGCTCCCCACCATTCTCCATGACATCTTCGCTCTTCTTGCTAGCTCCCACATCCGGACCAATAATAGTTTCCCCATCCACCGAACTACTAATCTTTCCCCAAAATCGCGGGAAACCCATCCAGTTACAAAAGGCATGCACACATATCACCGCCAACAAGCTCCCCGTTCGGAGATACAAAAATGTAGCGTAGCCTCCAAATAGCGTCGTGTAGGAGAATTGTAGCAAGGAGCGGAGAATAGCTCCAACCATGGGGCCATGCGGATGTGTGATTCTGTATTCGTAAAAGTGATGCACATGGGCAAGTCCGAAGACGACGGGGGTAAGGAATATGATCGTTGTATTGGAGGTCTTGGAGAGGAGGAGGAGGGGTACAGAGGCAGATCTGAAGAGTACCTCTTCTGTTACGGGTCCCTTCAATTACTATTAGCTATATGCAACAATAAGGGAAGCTCTAGTAAAACTCACAGCGACAATATTCCTATAAGGAATCCAGCCCTTCAAAGCTCCCAATCCCCTCAAACGAACCCAATCGCGCCACTGTCCCTGCGCAATCCCTTCTTCAAACAAAGGGCCCGCAAATAGTATAGCAGTCAAACCTACACATTTGACCGTCTCAACAAATCCAAAGGGAAAATAGCCCATCAAATGGAGGGATTTCACTGCATCTCCATTCTTCACCGAGGACAAAATTCCAAATGTGCCAATACATACAACGATGCAAGAGAGCGTGACCGAACGAATTCGTCCGCGGATAACCGTCGGTGCATCGCGAGAGAGCTGGGGTGAAGGACGGGTAGTCGAAGAGAGATAGAAGGGGATTACGTAGATGAGGGTATAGAGTACCTGTAATTGTGAGTGTTTGAACTAGGTGCTTGGAATGATGGGTAAGGAGGTGTAATACCAACAGAGAAACCGCAGTGGTGGTGCTAAACGGGGGAACTTCTTTCTCTGGAATAGAGCTTTGGTTAGCTGGGTTGTCCATGATTGATCATTTGGGTGCATGATCTTGCAGATGGATGCGAGGAGTGTAAGAAATACCAACCCTTTTCACCAGTATAAAGTGCCTTTAATCGATTATATATCCCGGTGGGTGCCATGGATGCGGAGAGTACTCGAGTAGTGCAGGTATATATGTACCGGTATATCAAAGCACCCAGGATATCTTCATCCGATCTTCTGGATCTCCAGTAGATCAAGAGGCGCAAGGATTATGTACAAAGAGATGGGTCTAGAGAGATGAGAGGTATGTGAGTCTTGCGAATGCAATAGAAGTCTGTGAGTTGGTTACCAATTCAAAGCCTTGTGGCTCGCTCGGCGTGGTAGAGATGAGAATATCTGAGGGTGCGAGGAAATGTTGGATTGTGGAGTAGAATCAGTAGATGGACAGGCAGGGGCTGAGAGCACAACACCGATGGGCATTATTATTTTGTGTCAAGTATGTAAATATGTAAATACATATATACGCAAATACCTACCATTATGTGTTGAATGAATGAAATGTGAAGTCAAGAGTTAATAAGGGAATCTTACTTTCATATTGTTCCATTTTAGTCAGATCTTACAATTGTTCTATTTATTCATCAAAGTTTATTTCATACCATCTCTTATGAATATGAAATATTGTTTTTACTACAGCGAGATTTAATCTTTCACTGATCATATGGGAAATTTCGTGTTTCATGCTTCCAGAATTATCTTATCGATAGTAACTCTCGTTGTTATCACACCGAACAGGACTTTTCGCAATCTATCGTCAATCAATTGAATGATGCAGTTCTCGTGAGAAAATTACCAAAATTTCTGGCGACGGGACAGGCTTACCTAACCTTCGCTCTAGATTCCACGCGGTACGATAGATCACAGAGCAGCATAATTACCAGGTAGTATGGACAAATTACGTCTTGCAAGGGATGTGTAATGGTAAGAGGTGGAAGGTTCAGTCTCCGAGGGAAAAAACGTACCGGCGATCTACAGAATAAGGAGGAACAAGGACAAGTCCTGTAAAACACCGGACTCACATACTAGGAGCATTTTCCGTGGAGAGAGCGTTATATGATTATCAAAATTACAGAGAGGAGGAGGAGGAGGGTTTGGTGTTTGTGTATGGCTTTCGAACTTCGAAGCGTGTCGAGTTATTTATTTTTAGGTATTTAGAGTTCTAGAGAGTCGATGAATCTGTCAAGCTATCAATCCATCAATCCATCCATCAATTATGCAATTGCACCATCCATACAGCTGACAGACGTGAACTCAATTGATGACAGAACTTTACCTTCCTCGAGAGTCGAGCCTACCACACAAAAAGGTAAGAGGGAAACCTTATGCGCACCATTTGTTTACTTACGACCTTTTTGCGTGTCTCGAGGTTGTCTAGACGGCCAAGCGAGACTCAGTCCAAGCTTCATCAATGCTTGCTTGCTTGCTTGGAAACGGAGATGATTCAAATGAGATGGTGAGCTTCCGGATCCACTCTCGAGAATCATCGATGCGCAAACCCTGGTCAGAGATGGAGAAGATGTTTTCCTGGAGGTTGGATCTGCTGCTTTGTTTCTTCCATGAAAACCCCGTTTTGCATGACGATGAGTAGCGCCAGCTTAATGAGAAGCATGAACGATTTCAGATGAACGAATAAACTCTGGAACTATTGGAAGAAATGAAAGATGAGTGAAAGTTATCGATTACCCCTTTCTATAGCCACGCGCGCGTCCAATGGCAATGCGCTTTCTCGATTGATTTTGTCTCATGGACTCCTGCACAACTTCTTGTATCTGGTATCAGACGCATCATACCATCCAAACTCTGTGTACATCGTATGTGTACATCGTATGTGTCCCGTATCCGTGTGGACTATACCTTCGTGCTTCTCTCCCTCCAAAGGTAAAACGAAGTAGAAACCCGTTCCCCCTGTCGCGTGCAGATAACTCTGGACAATCTCCCCATCCATTAGACGCGCCATCAGCCACCTTACCGTGAACGGCATGGCTTATGCAAATTTCTGCAGTGGTATGCAGTCAACGGTTCCTTTTGCATGGCATTAAATTAGAGCTTTTCCAGCCTGCGAATCGATTCCCTTCAATTTGGGGGCACCGACAGTAGTCTTGACATGTTCGCTGCACAGTGCATACCTCCTGCGTGCATTGAGATTTGCACTTGCGTCTAATGTCTAATTCAGGAAACATTTTGATCGGAGTAGAGGACCAAGGGATCCTCTTTTGACCAGAGGATTTGTCTATGATTGACTGATTAGATGTGTGGAACTCTCCCATTCGGCCTCTTTGGCTACACTCTGCTATTTGTGGCTGCCACGCTGTCTCTCTGTTCATCTTATTTTCCTCATCTAATCCCACTACTTGGTGGCTACTAACAGCTAGATGGACGGATGATACCTAGGAATCGCTTGTCGGAAGAGCTTCTCCAAGGACACAAGGTATAATTATACGGATTGACGGTACGCTAAAATTCTAGACATGGGCCTTGGAATTGGAGACCTACCATATCTTTCCAAGGTTTAGACAAAATCCTTACATTATCCTCCGTAGTCAGCGGTGAAAAAGCTGGCTACCTAGGTATGGCTGTCGAATATGAAATTTTATGTACCGTCGCGATGAGTTGTACATTTGGTATAGACCTCTGATATCCTCTCGTTTTCCCCTCGGGCTCTTGGTCTCTTTCTCGACCCTTTTCCATCTATCTTTGTCTTTGTGTTTTGCTCCTGGATCAATCAATTGATCCATTACACTCTTTTTCTATATACTTAGCATTAATACCGGGACCGTTCTCCCCTTTGGACTTCTCACTCATTACTATACACATATACAGTGCGACGACGATACAATAAAGTTAATCCTATTACTTCTACTCTTTTCGAAACCAATCGCTGCGCCATACAATCAACTACGTACGATAGATCCATATTAAACATTCATTCAGAAGGAAACAAACACAAGAGATCCAAACACGGGACGAACTACCAACTACTGTCGCAGACATAGCACTCATTACATCTAATACTAGCAAAGACGTTACGATTGCGATCAAGCATCAATTTCAAGTGAGGCCTAACGAAGGAAACAAGAAGAATACGAACAAACCCATCAACACCAACAAAAAAAAAGAAAAGGCGTTTACGAAGGCATTTCAGAATTTATTTGGGCGTATGGAGACACAATATGCGTCTGATTTAGAAGAATTTAGTTCGGGATGTCAAACTCTCCTTCAAGAAGGCCTTTGCATACAAGGTACGCGCAAACTTACTACCTTCATCCTATCTAGATTCTTCATAGTTTCCCTCACCTTGATTGTTTTTCCTCGCTCACCATCGCAAAAGATCAGATTCAGAGACGAATCGCTCAGCAGCGGTCCGATTGGTTCCGCCCGAACCCCCTCAATTTTTAAGACAATTGGAGGATGATGAAGGAGAACAAGCGAATGACTATTATCATGAGAATGATCCCATTAATAAGAATGATGATGATGACAAAATTTATTCACGATCTCCTCTTCCCACCCAGTCAGCTCATATTCTCTCTCCTGGTCATTCTATTGGCAAAGGTCAATATTTCTATGGTAGGCAAGGTTCCAGCCCCGATTCAGCCGAGTTTCACCAGATGCCCAAAACGCAACCACTGCCAGCCACTCCTAGAGGCACGTCCACCGCAACGCATAACACGCCGCAAATTACTACTCCTGCGACACGATCCTCAACGAGGCCCAGACCCCAGTCAAGAAAGCGTCTTGTTGTCAAGGTTGGGGACGGAAAGACATTTTCCCTCGTACCCCAAGATGAACCACTACCCAACGACGACGGTACCTCACAGTCTTTATCCACTAAAACATCATCGTCTTCTGTACAAGATTTGGATCATTCTATCACCTCATGCACCAATACCGACTCCACATACACAGCCGCACCTAGTGAGGCAACACCTAGGAAGTCGATATCTGCAGATCATATAAGCTGTTCGTCCTCGGAGTTCTCGATTGTGGGTGGTGTTCGAAAAGTTCCCAAGACACCAGAAAAGGGAAAAGGTCCAGCGTTCGATTATCCTCTTCCTCCTTTGCCAGAAACTTCAGACGGACCAGAGCCCCGCTTCCACGATCTTTCTGCAAAACCATCATTCATTTCAACAACCTCAACTGCAAGCGAGGGCACTAATTGGAAAGTTTACAGTCATATTCCAGAATCGCCGACTTATGAATCTGTCCTTACTGCAACTCCCACTCAACCTAATTTTGAAGTTCTCGACGGTCAATCCGTTCTTGAACAGTCCACTCCTTCAACAACTATCTATCGGCCGCGCAAAGCGTCAATTCAAGAGTCAATCCAGGAGTCAATTCAAGAGTCAGTTCAAGAGTCAATTCAAGAATCAGTTCAAGAATCAATTCAAGAGTCAGTTCAGGAGTCAGTTCAGGAATCAGTTCAAGAATCGATCCCGGAATCAAATCAAGAATCTACAGGGACTGTAATTCACCGACCCCAAACATCTCAAACGTCATCTGCGAGCACATCGGATAATTCTAATTACCAAATTCACGAAGAATCTGTCTCTGGCTCAGTCATCTATAGGCCACAGCATCGACCCCAGCTATCCACAAGCACTTCCGGCTATTCGACTTCGAATTATCCCAACTCGAACTATCAAATACATGAACCAGACACTCCAACTTCAGTAGTCTTCAGACCTTCACATAGACCTCAGTTATCTACAAGCACAACTGGTGATAATACTAATTACGAAATTCATCGTGGCCGTACCCGAGAACGCTCTGAATCAATTGCCGATTCCTTTCTTGCAGCATCATTTTCTAGTGGCTCCAATTACCGAGTACATCAACACTCTGATATAGATTCGAATTCATCAGTTGTCCATAGACCTCGAGCTCGAGCAGCAACCACTTCTTCCAGCGAACACGAAAATTACGTGTTCCACGAGGACCTTTCCAGATCCATATCTCTTTCGAGTGGTCAGGGCCCAGCACCTAAGTATTCTCAAGAATCTCTTCGTATTCCTGCCCTCAGAACAAAAAAGAGGTCGAACGACAATTTTGGCTACTACAAGTCAAGATCGCGAGAGACATTGAAGTCGAGATCAAATCACTCGCTTCGAAGTGCAGCACACAGTCGAGCTAATTCGCTAGCGTCGTTATCAACAATTCACACACAACCCGACGCACAACGAGCAATCGTGGCGAGCGGATCATTAGTTAATTTATCCGCTCACGCTCAACTCCAAAAGCCAAAAGGATTGAGTTCATGGGCAGAGTTGCCGAGCCCCACGAGTCCCCATATGATCGAGACTCCGCATCAATGGAGCTCACAGCTATCCACTGTGCTCTCCGTATCCGAGGGAACCGGCACCGAACGCGGTTCGCAAGCTTGGTCCGACAGTATGGGAAGAAGGAGTGTATTCGGTCTACCCAGTCGCGGCAGTCGCAATGTTCTCAGTATCAGTTCGTCACACGGAATCGAAGATGCCTTGTCAAGATCGAGAAGCGAATCTGTGGATCCTCCACGTCCAGCTTGGACACGCAGTGGTCGAGGTCTCAGCAGCTCATCTATCCCTGTTATAGGTGATCAAGATGAATATGGTGACGGAATCACCGCCATGCAAGATCTGCGCACTCGTCCATCCAGAAATAGATTATCCGGCATGTTCAATGCTGGAGCATCTGATACTTCCCGCACACACACCATGCGCTCCTCAATAAGTACCCGCTCCAATAGTTTTCTCGCAAACTCAATCCCAACGTGGGCAAGACTTTACTATGGAAGTGGAGAGCGTCGCTATCTAGGCTACAGACCCGAGAGTTCCAGCGGCGGAAACCCAAGTCGCAATGGCTCATTCAGTTGTGGAAGTGGCTCCCCCAATACAGAAAACTTCCCAGATGAATTATATAGTCCCCGTCGTCGACCACGAGAAGGCCATCCACACATGCGAGGTTTCTCCCAACAATCTATGGAAATCACACCTGTACCCACCGCAGCCCAAGGCAATGGCGCTCTCAGAACCTGGTCTCTCATTTCCAGCGTCTGGTCTCCACATCTCCGTACCGATCGCCGAGCCGCTCGTCAATCTCTCTGGGAACCCCCGCAAATCAACTTCTCAACCGAGGGCGGTTTTTTCGGCCGTCGTAACATCCAAGTCGTTCTCTTCATCACTGGATTTCTTCTTCCTTTCACCTGGATGATCGCCGCTTTTCTCCCTCTCCCCACGAAGCCCGTCCAAGAGATGCGCGAACGCAAAGATAGTACCGGACACCTCACACAAGCGCGGGATCTAGAAAGTCGCGGCAACAATGATTATGTCAAGGAATTTGGCCCGTTGGATGAGGCACGTTATGAGAGTGCCAGGTGGTGGAGGACTCTGAATCGTTGGATGAGTGTGGTGGGATTATTGATTATTGCTGCTATTGTAAGTTTGACATGTCTATTTTTTAATCGGTGAATAGAAGGCTAATATATACCAGATCATCCTCGCTGTCATTGGTACCCGAGAGGGATGGTAATTCCATCCTAATTCCCAGCTTAATCATATCACCTCCTTACTTCCTCCTTCGCTTTCCATTTTCCACCACCCTCACCTCTCACCTCACACCTCACATTCTCACCACGACACCCAGGACCCACGGCACACGACACACGGCATTGATATAACGACCCCTTGTATATTAGAGTAGAGCCCCTCTACCCCCTCTCTAATAATGATTCTTACGACCAAATAACGACTCTCACAACAAACAGATGGGTCTAGACTTTTTATTTTCACACTTTTACTTTTTATTTTTAGCGCGCGCAGATGATATATTAGCATTATACCCTTTCTTTACGGAAAGAAAAAGCTTGCTTGCTTGCATGTATGTATGTATGTTGGATAATTTTTATTATTGATGATGGTTGGGAAAAGGAGGATGCATAGGAAGGAAAGGGATGACACAGGACCTGCCATGTGATGCGATGCGATGCGATGCGATGCGATGGCAAAGGCGATGATGGCGCTATATGTGCTTGCTTTGTATATATGGATGCAACGTTGGAATGCATGATTGATAGATAGAACAAGTTAAAGAAATTTTAATGTTCATGAAGAGCAAATTATCATTCAGATCATTTTGAAATAATATGTGTATTGTGAATTTCTCGTATCGTGTACGTCGGGTATATATTTGTATTCATCATGCTACATCTAACCAATATACATCCCTAAGAACTCCCCAATTGAAATGCTCAAGAACGCTTTTGTACTCCTTCCATGTGTTTCTTCACTTCACTTCAACTCAACTTTCTTTCCCTTTCTCTTCCTCGCCTGAAGCTCCGCTTTTGCTTCTTCAATTGCCTCGTCAAGATCTCTTGATGGATCAGCCGGTAATCCGAGAACCGGTTCCTTGCCCCCTAGACTCTCCATACTGGCTGAACGTTTCAATCCCTTGTCAGCTTTGCTAGTTCGCTCGCTCACCATCTTCATTAAATGCGATTTAGCAGGCGAAGCGAAGAAAGCAGTTGAAAGGGCAGTGCCGATGACAGCGTAGAAATAGACGCGTGACCAGACGAGGAAGGAAGCGGGGAGAGTAAGAAGTATGAAGGGAGCGACCGTGAATGAGAATGCAAGTTGAGTTGCTAGCCACGAGAAGACATCGTAGTAGAGTTTGTGTGATGTGGGTTGAGATGTTTTGGGGTCGATGAAGAAGGGACGGAAACAACGGCGGAAGTCTAAAGATGGTCAGTTATAGAATCAATCTAGAACTAGGGGAAGAAGACGTACTCTTTGCAACGGTTTGAATAAAACTGGCCAAAATGAAAGCAAAGTAATAGCCAGGGAAAAATCCGTGCCAGAAAGCACTGGTTACGAAAGTTGCCATGCTAGCTCTGAAACCAGGCTTCTTGCCTTTTGGAGTAACACGAAGGTAAATATAGTTTCGGAGCCAATTATTCGTGTTCATATTCCAGTTTCCAAGATATGCGCGAGTATTTTGGGCTGTTTCAACTCCCCACGGGTCAACGTTGCAAAGCCTGTCCCAAGAGACTTTGCCAGTGACTGGATCGATACCTTTATACCCAAGACCTGAGAGGATACATGCACCCTCGGTCAATGCCCATACACCGTAATACTTCAATCTAGCAGTCATACCGACCATGTGAAGAACAAAGACACGGCGAGCAAACCCATAAGTCATGTATTCATCACCAGTCAAGAGATCAGGCCAATACCACGCAGATAGCTTCAAAAAAAGTAAGATCCAACCCAAGCCAAGAGCAGCTTTCCACATTGCAGGAGTGCCGCTTCTTGGGATTTTCCTCAATTTTCGAGTTGGAGGTTTCTTTGAGGGATCAACACCAGCAGGCACTTCGAACATTGTGGTTTCAATCCACTGCTTATAGTCCACATAATCAAAAGCCGGACCTGCGAAGAGAGATGGAAAGAAGAGGACGTATCCAGCGTAATCTAGCAAGCTCGGTAGTTGTTTGATGGCCCGTTCCTTTTGATCTTCTGTCAATTCTTCATCTTTCAGTCGGCCATCTGCAACATTCCAACAGAATGACGACAATTTCATAACCATCACCATTTGAGCCCCCGTAATATCCACCACTCCTGGATTATTAGCAAATTGCCGAGCCAGCTGGTTCACTGACAGATGTGCCATCAAAAACACAAAGCCAACCCATGGCATAAAAGGACCTTGCACATATTTTGCGATGCAGTATGCCCCGATAGAACTAATAGCCAGTGTTCTTGTACCACCCCATAAATCGAAAAGCCCAAGGAGGTAAAACGAGGAAACCCTGATAGCCAACAAGTCAGCAAATTGGGAAGAGAGTGTGCCTTTTGGGTAGTTTACGCACCCAATGATGAAGAAATTCTTCAAATCAGGTCTCGAATCTGGAACTCGTTTCAAGAGTCCCGCGAATGGATATGATAGGAGGAAGGAAGTAATGAGCTTTACTGTTTGATGTTAGAGTGAAATCCAAATCCTTGATATCTAATACATATCGATTGCTTTAATACATACGTTCATCAGTCGAGGCTCCCAAGATGCCTGCGACATATTCGAAAGCTGCGTAGATACTTGTCAGACTACGTCACATATTGTCAAGGTAAAGCCTTACGAGCGTCGATGTATGGTAACATTGTTGGCGATGGATAGTTTCAATGTACTATAAATCGAAGGGAGTTGTTGAGGTGCTACCGTCTCTCCATCAGTGAAGTAAGAATCGTGTTTTGAGGGACGGAAAGACAGATAGTTGTGTTTTGTGAACTTCCTTGGTAATTATTTATTTATTCGTATTTGATCATGGCACATGTCACAATGGTTCGTTTTCTGCCGGGCGGTGGTGGGGTGAATCGAATTTAGTGGGATAAGGACGGGTCGTGCCTTGCTCCCGAGCCTTGCTTCCTCTGCCTTGTCCTAGCTTGACTTGTTAACACTTGCGAATAAATAAAGCTACTTCGTACATGCAAATCACCTACCCTTATTCGAAGCCTTGTTTAAGTAACAGACTACGGCGAATCTATACAGCATCTTCATACTTCGACAATCTACAATTCGTACGGCGATCCAATAAGGTTACGAAATAAGACATGCTTATGCGCCCTCGACATTAAAACCCTCCAAGCTATTCGACCTTAATCTTCAAATACCAAACAACATGGATGTCGTTCAAGCTGTATCGGGGTATATCTCGAAGATGGTGTCTGCAGGAGACGGAACTTCTGGGACACCATCTGCGAAGATGAAGGTCTTATTACTGGATAGTGAAACCGTGTCCATTGTCTCTACTGCGATTACACAATCTGCGCTTTTGAACCATGAAGTATACCTCATAGATCGACTGGACAACCAGAATAGGGAGAAAATGCGCCATCTGAAATGTCTGTGTTTCGTTCGACCGTCGGCAGAGTCTATACAATTCCTAATTGACGAATTTCGAGATCCCAAATATGGTGAATACAATGTGTACTTCAGTAATGTTGTGAAGAAGTCATCCCTGGAGCGATTGGCAGAAGCAGATGATCATGAAGTGGTCAAGCTAGTTCAAGAGCACTTTGCAGATTACATTGTAGTGAACCCAGATCTATTTACATTTGATCTTGGATTTCCGAAGCAACGAATATGGAGCTCAAATCCAGACATGTGGAATCCAGATGCATTACAACGTACAACGGAGGGGCTCATCGCGGTGTTGCTATCTTTAAAGAAGAAGCCACTTATTCGATACGAAAAGAACAGTTTGCTAGCAAAGAAGTTGGCTTCGGAAGTACGATACCACATTGCTCAGGAAGATCAGTTATTTGACTTTAGGAGAGTGGATACTCCTCCAATCCTGTTAATTTTAGATCGACGAGACGACCCTATAACACCACTTTTGACACAATGGACATATCAAGCTATGGTCCACGAACTTCTAGGTATAAAGAATGGGCGAGTTGACCTTAGCGAGGTACCAGAAATCCGTCCCGAGTTGAAAGAAGTGGTTTTGTCGCAAGACCAGGATCCGTTCTTCAAGAAGAATATGTATCTCAACTTTGGTGATCTAGGTGGCAATATCAAAGATTATGTCGAGCAATATCAATCAAGAACCAAAAATAGCTCGAATATTGAATCCATAGCTGATATGAAGCGCTTCATCGAAGAATACCCCGAGTTTCGCAAACTTTCTGGCAACGTCAGTAAGCATGTCACCCTTGTTGGTGAACTAAGTAGAATGGTTGGTTCAGATAATTTATTGGAAGTCAGTGAAGTCGAGCAGAGCTTGGCATGTAACGATGCTCATGCCAGTGATCTCAAAGTAAGTTCGCAGCTCTCGCTTGACGCAACCTCTCGTTTACTAACAAGCATTATAGAATGTACAGAGATTAATTCAGTCTCCCACTGTTACCCCCGATAACAAGCTGAGATTGGTTGCCCTGTACTCGCTTAGATACGAGAAACACCCGTCGAATGCATTACCGATTCTTGTCGATCTCCTTGGCGCAGCCGGAAACGTCCCTCAAAGACGTATAGATCTGGTAGCTAAGCTCCTCATCTACCATTCTTCTTTGCAACTGAACCAATCGACGGGAGGTATTACCGATATGTTCGAATCCTCAAACATATTTTCTGGGGCCCGTGACCGATTCAAAGGGCTAAAGGGTGTAGAAAATGTCTACACGCAGCATTCACCACGACTCGAGCTAACACTTCAAGATCTAATCAAAGGAAAATTGCGTGATCAGCAATATCCTTTCGTTGAAGGTGGGGGGACAACTCGAGATAAGCCTCAGGATATTGTTATTTTCATTATTGGTGGAGCCACTTTTGAAGAGGCAAAATGTATATCTCAAATAAATGCTTCTTCGCCAGGTGTTAGAGTGGTCTTGGGAGGTACCTCGATTCATAACAGCACGACGTTTTTGGAGGAAATGGAAGATGCTGTATCCTTATGGCCTGAACCTGCTCCATCAACTGCTGCTGGGAGGTTACGAAAAGAAACAGGAAGACGTTGAACGAGGAGGAAGCTCAAAATTCTTAGT